CCCCCCCCCCCCCAGCAGGGGCGCAGCCCCGTGGCGCGGGCTGTTGGTAGGGTTCTCGAGCTCAGCCCGGGCCGCTGGGCCCCTGCCACCCCAATCCCAGGGTGCCTGTTTACCACCTGTCAAAAAGGACGGGAAGGAGCACACAGGGGGGGCGAGGTGTGGGGGAAAAGCGCCTCCCCCTCTCCCCCTCCGCCTACCTCCTCTGCTCCCCCTAAGGTCCGTGGCGCCCCTCGTGTGCGCCTCCATGACCCAAAATCCCCCCCATGGAAACACAGCCTGCCGCGACCCGCTCCGAACGCCCGCGCGCGCTCACCTGGCTGCCCCCCCGGGCTGGCCGAAGTGAAAACGGGCTGTTCTGTGCCTGGGGCCCCAGCCGGGGGGGTGACCTACCTGGGCGCCGGCAAGGAGGCCTGGCTGTGGGCGCCAGCGCTTGGCCTCCCTCTGCCTTCTGTCTGAACCCAACCTTGCCAGCATTCTCTGTGACCTGAGCACCGCTCCCTCAACCCTAATCCTTGCCACTTTCCCCAGGTTTGCAGCCCTGGTGGCATGCCTCTCCGAGAACCCCTGCCCATCTCCAGGGCCCCGGCCCCTACAATTCATCCCTGAGGCTGTCCTTGTACACCCCACTCCTTCACAAAATCCCCAGGACTAAGCATCTTCCAGTCGAAGAAATTCCCCACCTGCAGGCCCTTGAGCACCCATCCAATTGGCAAGCGCCCCGTCCCATTTCTGAAGCACTGAGGCTTCCCAGTGCTTGGCAGCCTGCCCGCACCATCCATGCATTCTGGCCTTTCAATCACGCCACAGTTTGCACGTCCATCCCACTAAGGGATCTACAGAGCCTCAGTCTTGTGTTTCCCAACCTACCTACCCTATCCACCAGTTCAGGAAACCCCCAGCGCAGAAATGGAAGCTGCCCTCTCCACCTTTAGAGCTGGAAATATTGAGAGTGGGGTGGAGCAGTGAAGGAGGTTCAGCGTGTCCCCCCTCAGCACCAGGGCTGAGCTTGAGGACCCTTGAGCAATCTGGGGCCACGGCTTGGGTCTTGAGGATTGCTTAGCAGTGGTCGGCAAACTCATTAGTCAACAGAGCCAAATCTCAACAGTACAACGATTGAAATTTCCCTTGAGAGCCAATTTTTTTAAACTTGAACTATATAGGTAGATACATTGTTATCAACTTAATTAGGGCACTCAAGGGGCCAAAGAGCCATATGTGGCTCTCGAGCCGCAGTTTGCCGACCACTGGCCTAGGGTATCTGGTCAGGCCAGAGGTGGGGGAGGCAGGGGACCGCAGGAGAAATGAAAGCAGAGACCATTCAGCTCTGTTCGCCTATGACAGCACTGGGACCAGGAAAGGTGGATGAGAGAGGTTGCTCAGCCAGCCAGAGTGGATGTCAGGACACCGTGCATCCACAGCCTACAGTGAAACAGTCAGGGACCAAGTGAATGCTGGGGATGAGCTGCCTGAAGCGGGTGCTGTTGTCACCTGGCTGCTGGGCCCTGGGCAGGTGCCTGAGCCCCTGCAGCCCTGCTTCTTCCTCCATGAAGTGGTAGTCACAGGCTGTCTCTCACTGTCCCCATTCCTCCTTCCACTACAGTAGCACTGTGCCCAACTGCTCCCCCTCTCGGGCCTATGTCCCCAGACATTCCACACCTTTTCAAATGCGGAAAGAGATTCATTTCTCCCCTCTCATTGCTGGTGTCCCCCTCCCACCGAGTGCCTTCAAAGCGTCCTCAAGTCCAGGACCTAACTGCCTCTCGACTGTCAGGG